CCCCCCCCCCCCCGGTTCCAAATGTCTTACGGGAAGTGATGGAGTGATGGAGTGAAATCGTTCCACCACTACAACTTGGAAAATAATATTTTCCAAGTTCAAAAAGGAACCGAGGGAATAGCACTGCACGAACTCGATGTTTGTGTGGCAAACCACGCATACAAGAACATTACTCTGAATATAACAAAGCATGCAAACTAAAGTGAGCCGAAGGAATAGCAATGTACAAACCCGATGTTTTTGAGGCAAAGGACGCGTACAAAAATACCTTGAATATAACAAAGCAGGCAAACTAAAGTGAGCCGAAGGAATAACACTGCACAAACCCGATGTTTGTGACGCGAAGGACGCATACAAGAACACTACTGCATATAACAAAGCATGCAAACTAAAGGGAACCGAAGGAATAGCACTGCACAAACCCGATTTTTGTGAGGCAAAGCACGTATACAAGAACATTACTGCATATAACAAAGCATGCAAACTAAAAGGAACCGAAGGAATAACACTGCACAACCCCGATGTTTGTGAGGCAAAGGACGCATACAACAACACCCTGAATATAGTAAAACATGCAAACTTGAAGGGAGTCGAGGGAAACGCACTGCACAAACCCGGAGTTTATGAGGCAAAGCAAGCATAAAATAATATTAAACAGTTCTGCAACTTCACAGTAAAAGCGTGAAAATACTTAAAGGGCGTATGGGAAGGGAAAACCATGGATAAGACCCAGGCAACGGAATAAGGGACAACATGAGCGAAAAAACAAGATCGTAAACGACTAAAAGCAACAAACCACAAGGAAAACTTCTGCTGTACTAGTAAGAGTGCCGGATTTGGGTTTAATTAACTGGACTGCTGTACACGTTTCGATCAGCTAAAGGAATCAGTAACAGTGTAAGCAGTATGGACGAGAACTTGATCATCTTTCAACTTGTAAAGCCGATTTGTTAATAGTTTAACCGTGATATTGTCAGTTGACACCCTCTATTATCTTGTAGTTCTAGTCATGTAGTTCATTAAATACACAAGTTGGATACTTTTTCAATGCTTTATTCCCCTGTCTTTGTAATTTATCCCCAACAAGAACTACGCATGTCTGAATTATGCGTTCATGAAACATGATCGGACGAAGTTGCTCTACAGGCCATCGGACTTTATCGCTCCCCTTCTTCGATGCATTTCTCAATACACTTCTCCTGCAAAGGAACGCATCATGTAAACCTATTAGTAATTGTTTTTACAAACCCATTTTCCATGTAATACCCGAATAACTGTCTGATAATTCAGGTGTTGCTTTGAGTTAATGTTCCTCCAACAAAACTGAATTTCGGGAAATTCATCAACTCTTAGACCATTCTGACAGATTATGAACGGACAAATTTAGACAAATCTCAGTCAAATGTTACAATACTGACAATTTGAACAACAATCACTTGACTCAATTGTCAGGATTTAATCTTTCCCGGAAACTCAAGAAGATAATTGTAATATGTTACATTTGACAATGTTTTTTGCGATTAAAACATGCAGAAATTCAGGGCTAATGAGTAGAGACATAATTAAAAATGAAAAAACACTGAGCTTACCAACGCAGGCGAAAAACTAGAACGATGACCAGTGGGACCAGGACGGACAGGATCATTTTCCTTGTCAGCTAGCTTCTCTGGGATTTTTGACGGCATATTTGACGGCTTATACTCTTCGAGGCACTTTCTTATACACTTTTTCTGCAAAATGAAACAAAATAACAATTGCTAAATTCAAATGCCAGCATCACAAACTTTGTATCAACTCAATAAAACAATTGTCACTGCATGACGATTTCTTTCAGGTTACAACATACAACCATTTTGGGTCGACTGAGTAAAGATATTGAAAAATAGTTAATTTCAGTGCAATGTCACAAGACATTTGCAAATGACAATCGCTAGAACCGACATTTCCAGCAACAAAACGTTGGTGGAAACTCAAGAAAACATGCAAGTGTTTAATAGTGTTTAACGTTGCTCGCATGAGGATTTGTTTAAGATGACATCGTGCGGTAATTTGGGACGAATTAGTAAAAATATTAAGTAGATATGAAGAAAACTAGGCTTACCATAGTAGGCCCAAAAGAAGGACGAGGGCGGCGTGGATCGTTTTCCTCGTCTGCTACTTTGCCCGACTCTGTTGGGTTTGATGGCTTATGCTATTCGTGGTCATGGTGGCCATGGTGTGGATCATGTTTAACATGGATCTCGGCCAAGACGACACTCACTCCAAGAAACAGGAACAGTATTAGAGAGTTCATTTTGGGCACTGTCTTTGCTGATTCGCAAAGCAAGTGTGGCTAGCACGGATCATGCCCGCCATTTTATAAGCCTGTCGTTGAGATTGGGATTGCATCTAAAATGCCAAAAGCGAGAACGAAGACGTCTTTGTGGAGGCGTTGTTTGTTCGTGCAGAAGATGAACAGTTTTCTCAGCTGATATCCATAGTGCGGGTTTCTTTACTTTCTGTGCGCACGTTTCATCGCGTTGTTGAACTTTTAAAAAGTCGATCTTTCTTTTCAAAAAAACTCACATTTGACACTGTCTTGACACTCTCTTGGTGAAGACCGAAAGTCAATCTGAAATCTGTATCTGAAATCTGAATCTGGGCAGGTCAGTCACCTTGTTGGCGTGTTGTAGATTTACAGAGTTCAGTACAACTACATTTTCAAAATTCAAATAACATTTACTCTAGTGAGTTTATTTATTTATTTAGATATATTTATTTTGTGCACCTTTTGTTTCGGGGAGCACAAAACCACGTAAACTAACATAATAAAATTGCTTAATATCCCTTCAACAAATAAAAGTTTTATTTAAACAAAGCACTGAAAACAAAGGTATCTTTACAAAACGATATATTTTATTTGTGTGTTTGGAGGGAAAAACAAGTTTACTTTGTGGAGACAAAAAACGTCTTCGTAACAGTATTTGAACCGTTTAAACCTTTGAAACCTGCCACTCCGATCACCTACCTTACACTTGTTTTCATGTTAACTCCAGTTTCCTTCTTGAGACAAGCAAGCTTTAGTTTAGTTCCATGCCCCCGAGTGGGGGATAGATGGCCGGGAATCAAGCTTAGTTAATCAGATATTACGAACACTTTTTAATCAACAGGACCTTCGTACCACAAAAAAAAAACAAAACAAAACAAAACAAAACAAAAAAAAAAACGTNTTACGAACACTTTTTAATCAACAGGACCTTCGTACCACAAAAAAAAAAAAAACAAAACAAAACAAAACAAAAAAAAAAACGTCTTTTTGGTTGAGGTCGCTTTAAAAATAAAGCATTTAATTTTGCTGTTGAAAGGGAAAAAAATTTTATGAAACGGAATATTTTTCTTTTGTGCAAGGATGCAAATAGTCCCTTCTGGCAAACGCAAAAGTCACAAGGTTTATTTTGCGAACACAAAGATCCCTTTAAAGTACATGTTTACACTTTTATAACGCAAGCAGCCCAGCTGTTATTATACATAAAGAATAGCTGACGGACGCTTGTGTCAATATCACGTAGATCTGTTCCTTCTTCACTTGAAAATGACGTAGAAATCTATGTTTTGCATTGTTTCTAACTTGACTTTATCAGCCCTAGTCGATTTGAGATTTTTTTCTCTTAAGTTCCTCTTTCTTTTAAGATTGCCGCGAACCTTCAGAGTTAAAAATTTTCAATTTTCGTTTCCCACCGTAAAAATTTCAATAATATAAAAATCGTAATCGTAATCTTAATCGTTTTCAGTCTAAACTTCCAGCTTAGACTGAAAATTCTCTAATTCATTTCCAGGAAACTTAAAAAAAACAAAACAAAACAAAACATGTGAATAGCTAGTTACAAGCGTTACTTCGATATAGGAGTTAGGAAATCTGAGCGCTTCATCCGTTGGACTGGAGACATCCCGGAAGTTACCTGGTAACCTTGAGCCTATGTTAGTTTTATGACTGGGAAGAACTTTAAAATACTACAGCAGTTCATATTACAGCTTTGAAGACTGAAAGCGGGGTTACCAACTTTCGTTGCTGTATCTCTGCACAGTGGATCACTTTAAGTGTTTTTGAACGTACTATTAAAGATTCTACTTTTCAGAATATTTTTTGTCTTTTCAAGTCATATTTTGTAAGCCTTGACATACTACCGTAGAATTCCGATAATAACGGCCCCCGTTACTTTCGGATTTAGCTGGCAAAAGGGACCGTTACTTTCGGGTAGCCGTTATTTTCGGATGGTTGATAAACGTTTGTACTGTGCGGTAATTCTCGTTCTTTTCTGAAATAAGAGGACACATAACACTACTAAATCTTACTAACTAGCCACATAAATAAAGTAGACTGTATACAACAAAAAGGGTCCCAAACGTTGGTATCGTAAGACAATGTAACGAATTCCACTTAACTCTGCTTCCAGACAAAAATCGTAGATATTATTTAAAGTTCAAGAAATATTTTGCAAAGTTCGAAATCAGATCACAAATCCCTCTTCACAGTGTTCAGTTTTGCAGTGTTCAGTCCTTCATCCCGATCAGTTTCTAACAGGAAAAGTAACTGCGAGCGAAAGAAGGGTTCTTTTTCTAAATGGACGGTGCAAGCTTGGCAGACATTTCTCGCCGTCTCCGGTCCGAGATGCAGTTGTTCGTTCATTCGTGAAATGCGAAATCGCCCTGCCAACTACAGGGCAACGCGATAGCGAAATCAATCCTAGTGGCCTGGAGGACCATACAATTGGCCACTCGAGCGACGTGGAGCAGATATGGTTTGACGGTGATGAATAAATGTAACAGCAATTTAACAGCTGTACGATTAAGGGTATATCATGGTAGGTGGATTTTTACGAAAAAAGCGAAAAAAAATTTTTTTTGGCTGCTCAAATTGAGAAGACTGAGATAAATATTTTGCAAAAAGAATGGGGGGAAAAGCTTTTTTACTTTTTAAGATATAAGAGAATTACTAATTAAAATTCACCGCCAGTTGTCACATGTAATGCGAATTGCGGTGTGATTTTTCATTTGTGCACGCGAACTGTTCTCGATCTGGTTGTTTCATCAAAAGTTAGCTTTCGTTCTTGTCAAATTTTCTTTATGTCAGGACCAAAACGCAAGAAAACTTCTTGCCCATTGCGAAAATCTGGTGGAAGTCACAGGTTCAGCGTCGAACAAGATCTTTGGCTCTGAGCGACTGTGAGTCGCACTGTAAACAAGAAGAATGGTTGAAGGAATTCGAGGACACCAGTCCCGCCAATGAAGCTAAAGGACAAAATACAACAAGTTCTAGTCGCACGAAATTGCTGGAGAACGGACGCAATTTCGAAACCTCCACAACGAGAGAGTCAAGCGCAGATGTAGATGTAGACAATGTAGACCTCGAGATTTCCTCTTTTTGGCTTCACGAGGCATGGTTTCAAAGAATGTCTGGGGAACGAAGAAGACTGCACTTAAACGATTAATACCAATGCCGCCCACGAAACTTTTTTAGGCACGGTAAAAGAAATCACGGCAGTTTAAGGGCCCATTAACCGATCTTTTCGAGCCGTTGCTAAGGAAAATTTATTCTCATATAACCTCATCATTTTTAGTTAGTTGAGAGTTATTTCATGTGTTTTAACTTTTTCATGATTGGTA